CACGGACTGGACACTTGTTCTGCAAACGAATAAAAACATGCTTACAAAACTGGTGGGCACATTTTTTCGCTATTTATCCTCACCAGAAATTCTCGGGTAGTTATCGGCTGAAGGTGCAAGATAATCATTGATTTGAATGCAGGATGAACCCAGATCTTCTGGCGCTAGCGACTCGCATATGCGCTCGGCAGAATACATTGGCTCCAATCGGCTCCAGTCGGCACATTGTGATATAATTTCCAGGCAAACATCATTGCAAATTTGGGTGGCATGTGATTGTCTGCCGGTTAAAAATGTTCAGTAAAATCACCATTAAACATGGCTACTAACTAACCTGGAGCAGGGTTTTATTTGCAACGTGCAGGCTACAGCCTTCCAGATGTTGGCACACTTCTTATCGGGCTTCAGCGGCAAAGTTAGGACTTCGGAGAGCGTTATGTTCTTCTCATTTTGCCATAAAGTCACTGCACTTCTAGCCGCCTCATCAGCTTGCGGAGTGCAGGACCTGAACAGTTCGGTTGGACGGTTATTGAAGTTGGTGCAAAAAGACAAACCATCACACCCCAACTCGCAAGGCTCGTCAACTGAAAACATTTATTTTATTATGCATTTTGATATGTAAGTTTATATCAACGTTGATCTGATTACCTTCATCGATACAATTTCGCAGAGGTTCTTCATTAACATTGGTCAAACATTTCTTGTGGAAGTCCTCCCATGATGATGACCAAGACTTGGTAAACGTTCTCGAGCACAATCTGGAACATTGAGTTGAATTGGCTCTTTGGCAGCAATGCCATTTGGCACTATCCATGCCAACTCGCTCAATTCGCGATACATCAAAAGAGGTTGAACTGTTCGGCTCATCGTTTGTTGGATAGATGAAACATTGCCAGAACTTGTCCTGAATAGAAAATAACCAATTTTATTTAAGAAAATTGAAACAACCCGCGATATATTGGTTGAAACTGATGAGTCTTTGAAGCCTTTATCTTTTTTTTGTGAAACGTAACAAATTCTTTCCCCGGTCGCTCTAAAAGCTGGAGAACCTCATCAGTGCAAAAACATTAACAAACCTGCAGTAGCGGTAAACCGCATCCTCCCATTTCCAATACATCGATCATCTCCTGAACTGTTGTTTTCTTCGCTAGAACGTCACGGCAAGTTTCCCTACATTTGATATTGTTTGATTTATCACAGCAGTGTAAATCTGAATATGAAAATAGTTTTATTAGCAGTTTCCTCACTTGGAGTAAAAAAAATAATGAAGCTCTGGTTGTTTTTCTATGGCAAAATTGACTAGTTACCGGTGAATGTTTTATCGGCAAATACATAAAAACAACATGGCAGAAACCTTAGTTTCTTTTCAAACGAACTACCGAAAATGTTCTAATTGTTAACTTTGTTATCAGTTGTTATTTTTCAGAAAAGTTTCTAACAAACGACAACATTTTGAAGTTTAATCTCAAATTTAAAAGCCTTCCCGTCCCTTAAATGAGGAGCTTTTGTTTGTTGGTAAATAAATTTATCACAGCAAACAAATTGGAGAACGTAGTGAAGAAACTTTACAATGCAAACTTTTGTAGATTTTTACAAAATATTAGAAACGCAAATTTTTTTGAAAATACAACAAAACTTATCGTAATTAAAAAAAAAACACAAATTCCTGTAAATATTTGTCCACACAAGCTTCCAAAGAAGAACATTTTTCCTATTTTTTGTTGTAAGGTATGCAGGTTGCAAGTTAATTATTGCCGGTTAAGGATCGTGACCGCTCGATTTTCCGGATCTGAAAATTCCAGCGTGTTTTTCAATGAGATCATTGCATTTGTCGTTCTATAAAGATACAAAAGAAGCAACATTCGAGGAATTTCGAAAAACTTTATATTTTTTTAAAAAATCGACCTGAGACGAGAAAATTTCGATCTAAATTCAAATTTCACATGGGTGTTTTTTGAACTCAATTAATTATTTACGGCCTTAGAAGCTTTTCGACATGCATATTTAGGGCCTTCAAGTAATTATTAAGCAAATACTATTGGTTAATGTTCGTAACCGCTCAAACATCGTTTAAACTGATCCAAAAACGTGTTTTTTTATTCGGATCTGAAGTTTCCAGTGTGTTTTTCAATGCTCGCTTCCTTGAGAAAATGTTGTAAAATTCCACACATTTTGAGATTCTTTATAATTTTTGGAAAAATCGATTTCAACCCTTAGGAAAATTTCGATCAAAGTTCAAAACTTCACATGCGTATTTTTTGAGCCCAATGGTGTGTCTCCGGCCTTAGAAGTTCTTCGATTTGCAAATTTAAACTTTTCGAGTATTTAGTAAGAAAAATATGGTTGATTAAAGATCTTGACCGATCAAAAAACGCTTGAAATGAATCCAAAATGTCACTTTTTCCGGATCTGAAGCTTCCAGCGTGTTTTTCAATGAGCTTGTCGCGTTACTCGTTTTCTAGAGCTGAAAAGGATGTAAAGATCGACACATTTTCAGATACTTTATATTTTTGGGAAAAATCGACCTCAACCCTTAGGAAAATTTTGATCAAAGTTCAAAACTTCACATGCGTGTTTTTTGAGCCCAATAATTTGTCCCAGGGCTTAGAAGCTCTTCAATTTGCAATTTTAAAGTTTGCGAGTATTTAATAACAAAATCATCGCCGATTAAAGATCATGACTGCAGAAAAATCGCTTGAAATGAACCCAAAATGTCGATTTTTCCGTTACGTTACTCGTTTTCTAGAGATAAAAATGATGTAAAATTCGACACATTTAGAGTTAATTTATATATTTTTTTAAAACTTGACCCTTATGACAATTTTTGAGCTCAGGAGATTGTTTATGACCTTAGGCGCTTTTCGATTTGGACATTAAACCTTTTCAAGTTTTTAATAATAAAAATATCGGATAAATATCGTAACCGCTCAAAAATCGATTAAAATGAACCAAAAATGTCGTTTTTGCGAATCTGAAGTTTCCAGTCTGTTTTTCAATGAGCTCGTTACATAACTCGTTTCCTAGAGATGAACATTATGTAAAATTCGGCACATTTTGAGAGACTTTATGTTTTTTGACAAAAAAGACACTACTACTCTTAGGAAAATTTCGATCAAAATTCAACAATTTACAAGCATGGTTTTTTAGCCCAATGAATTATTTCTAGCGTTATAACCTCTCCGATATGCATATTGAAAGCCTTCGCGTCTTCAATGAGAAATTTTTCCTGATCTGAGCTTCAGCGTGTTTTTCCATGAGATCGTGAACGATGAAAAATTATTGTACAAATTGTAAAAAGTGTATAAATCTATTTCAATATTTTTTTACAGATAAACAGTGTATCTTGTCAAACATATTCCAATTTGATTCACACAATATCGAGAGAGAAATAACCTTTATAGTAGTAAAAGCTGAAGAATTTTTATTTATAAATCGCTTACGTTTCAAAGTATTTTTGGCTGGGGTTACTTTAACAACATCCTTAACACACTCAACCACTTTGGGACTAGTCAGCTCGCAACTCTCTTTCAGTCTTTCTCTTTGGTATTTATTGGGGGTTAATTGACTTCGAAATATATCACTGAAAATTGAAATAAATTAATCAAAATTTTGAGCAGTTCAATGTCCGCTTTCTGTCGAAAATCGACCACAGGTGCTCAAAATTAGCAGCCTCCTGAAAATATGTGATCTGATAGATAACGCCTATGATAATAAAGTCTTACCTGCATGCTTCTATACACTCATCACTGGTCGCATCATTACAGCACAGTTCTCCAACTTGCTGCTTGTCTATACAGGTGAAAAAAGTAATTTCGTCGCTTCGCCTGCAACTTCTGGTAAGATCATCTGGCGATGTTGCAGTTACGCAAGCTCTTCTGCAACTTTCACTATAAGGAATAGCACAACAGCTTCGACCTGTCCATGAATCACCTCTGGACATATCTGGAACATCATTGAATACGATTATCGTACTAACTTATCCTATCCGGTATAATTGGCATGAATAATTAAGCAGTCTGAATCATACATTTTCGATATTGCAATTCGATTAGGAAAAGGTATTGAAAATTGATCAGTTTTCCACTGCAAATAGAAATACAAAAGTCCATTCAACGCAAAGAAGATTTGTTAGTTTCCTTCAAATGCTAATTCGAAAAGAAATTATCTAATAAAAATTGAATTATTGGAAACATTAAGCAACGTTAATTTTTAATTGTGCTTATTGCTAATGATTAAGAATAGATCTTAGTAAACAGACCGTCAAAGCGGATTTATTGTGTGGCCATTCAGGGTTATCAGCAACTTATTATTCTGTGACAGTGATATAGTTTGCTTTTTCCGTGTCCTTGGTCATGTAAGCAACAATACAATATGTAATGTAAATTGCGATCAATAAATATTTATTATTTCACAAATAAGAGAACCATGCATTAAATTCTTTATACTTAGCAAATTAATTGTGATTTTTTAAATATCTGCACAATACTTGTTGCAAAACATCTGGATTTATCCTTCTGATGTATAAAATCTTCTCAGCAAGGGCAGACTTTTAAAGCATTCTATTTTTAATGATTTTATTAATATTTCATTATGTGTAGGTAATTCCTGTATACAATTTACTGTTAAATAAATAATATTTAAAGTAAGTGAAAACAAAGATTGTAAAGATGCAACGGAAGCGACATAAAGAATAAAGTCCTTTTGTAAAGGTAAGGTTGGTGGAGTAAATGTTTAATTTGCTCCACCAGTTTTATTTGCTTGTTCAAACTAGTTTTCCATTTAGCCCTCTGACTGAATGTATATGATTTTCAAGGATTTTTTCATGTTTCATTTAATCCATGCTGAAATTTTAATCACAATTGTGCTTTTTCATTCTAGACCAATTTAGGAATTTTTGCATCATTGCTCTGCTGTACTGTGCTTCATGCCCTGCTTGTGGTCTCTTTATGTTGTTTCTTGCTCAAGTAGCTCAAATCAATTGTGGTTTCTACATATTTTGCCTATTTATTTTTGTTATGAGAATTACTCTTGTAAACATTAAATCTAACTATTATTGCTACTTTAAAATTGCATAACGTAATTATATTTTTTGTTTTATTTTGTCTTTATAGCATAATATATCTTTACCTTATTTGTTTTATTGTTTTACAATATCGTTCTCATACAATATTTTCCTGTCTTCATTAGCTGTGTGATTTTTCTGTTCGTCGTAATAGGAAACCGAGTTATTTGTGTAGCAATTTTGAACAATTATTTGATTTTTTATGGTTCTGTTAATGTTAAAGCAAATTGCTTCATTATTAAATAGTCAAATTGATTTTCATTTAAGAACGTCTTTTTATTAAACGTTCCTTTTAAGCGACTTTATTCGTAATGAGCTGTACAGCTATTTATTGGCAAATTAAACTAACCATTGACCATTACATAAAGACATCAATAAAATAAATTGAATAGTTTAAAATCAACAATAATCGAGATGCCAAAAAGTACATAATAATCAAATCAACATTAAATTCTCGTATAAAGTGAAATTTACGTACTTCCCTTATCTTGTGAAGTCAATGTTAATCAGAAAAGATGCAGAAAGCGAAGAAGCCAATAACGCAGAATCCTACCAATTAAAAGCCAGCATTTTGTTCGTTTTGTCTCATTAAAGGGTGTAGCCGGGATATTTATCTATCTTTCACTGGCCGTGTGGATAAGACGACAACGTTCCAGTGTTAATAAAAATAAACCAAAATCTACTAACGAGCCTGTTCGGTACGCTCTTGCGACATGTTGCTGTAGAGCAGCCCTAATAAATTTGTATCACTCTGTAGAGTGAATATCACGACTTGATATTTAAAACAAGCCCAACAAGAAATCCGGAATATGACAAATCGAGAATACCAAGAACGATTCGAGCTACACTATGGCCATGTTCAAAGTGCCTTACATGTAACGCTTCTATTGTCTGCTGCTAATTTAAATTTTAAATTGTTTGCTTAAAACAAATAATTCAAATCGTCGAAAATCGTACCGGCTCAATTTTGTGACTTCAACTTGGCATCGGTTGACTCGAACCATCTGGTGTCATTGCTATTATCTATTTTTAAATTAATTTGACCATCATAAATCGTGATGATAAACATGGCAATACAAGTAATTTTCTTTTTTTAAAACCAGTTTATTAGATGATTTACCTTCCAATTTCACACTGTTATTTTTGACTTAATAAAGTATTTACTGCAGAAGTTCCAGTTTTTCTCCGAAAGTAGGTAATGGAAGTTTAAACGCGCGTTGACCAAAGAGGGGCGAAAAATATTTAAAAAATTATTGTAATTTGTAGGTACTGAAAAAGCCGCAGCATTAATTTAGAGGTATATAATGTGTTCCCGGTTTTTTGACCATAATACATATTGAAAAATTTTCGGGCTTTTAAGCTAATGTTGAGTCAATGCGTTCGACTTTAGCTTTAAAATCAAATTTGGTATTGTTTGTGAACAATACACAACTAAATTATATTTTTATGCAATCCGTAAACAAGCCTTTCATAAAAGCATTTCTCAACCATGAATTGATGGACTTAATTAACTGAAACTACTATTGGAAAAGTCGTCACACTTTTCTGTACTTTCATCAAAACTCCCTCTAGAGTGTTTTTCTTGTTTAACAAAGAAAGCTTCCTATTAATCAAATATGCATTTTTTGGAAACTCCAATAAAATTATTAGATTTTATCGCATTTTAGTTCCGTTCATCAGTTCTTCCTCTAATTCTAATAACCGTCAGTTTAATTGTATGTCTATGGGTTTAATACTTAGGTAACTATTTAATTAATTTTAGTTTTATTTTAATTTATTATACATTTCCACATGCAAATACACGTTAATTGATTATGTATTTCGTGTTTGCAATGTCACTTTATTTCCAAATTGATACTGTATATTGATTTAAATTTTTCTAATGGTTAATATACATTTTTCCAGAAATTAATAACGAAACTTACCATTTATTGTAGCGTTTAAGCATTCCCAAAAAGCTACCTGCAACAACATAAATTAAACGTAAATATAAATATAATGTTTACCTCTTGAAGATTTGGGCATTCGCTTAAGTGCTTTGCCATGGGAGTATGACAACAAAATTCTAAATGTTTACAATCATATAATGTTTATAATTATAAATCATGTCTAAGGAGATATTTGTTTTAAAAAGTTAGATCTTTTTAAAGTCAAATTTTTATCAGATAAGGCAAATCAAGTAATTTTTGTAAAACTGATTTTATTTGTTTTTCTCACAAACCTCCAACAAAATACAAAATGTAATACAACAAATACAAAATGTTATTAATTTTCTTTATTAAGTGCAAAAAAATTAAAAAGTTAGATGTTTTGTCATCCTCTTGTATTGCTAAAGCAAATTAGGCTATTTTGCAACATCAATCTAGTTTGAAAATTTTTCAAAAACGTTTAAAAATTATAAAAAGTTGCTGAGTTTCAAGAAATGGAGAATAATGTAACGTGAAAAAAAAGATTTTTAAGAAAAATGTATTTCTAAACGGAACAATTTTCTCGAAACAATCTTATTTGCGAGGTTTCATTTTTTGGTTCTTGAGAATTTGAAGTTCTCAAGAAATTGATAATCAAAAGAACCAAAATTATAAAAAGTTGGTAATATTAAAGAAGTTGAAAAAAATGGTAAATGAAAAACTAGTTAGATATTTTGTAGGTCAAACTTAGTATTCTTAAAGCAAAGCAAATACTTATTAGCCAAAGATAACTTAATTATTAAAATTCCCAAACACTTTCAAAAATTACCAAAAGTTAATGCAACAAAACTTGGTATTTTGGAAACAGAAACCAAAAGTTAAAATTTATTAGCCCCAAATTTTGCAAGATATGGAGGAAAATGCAAAATGAAAAAGTTTGTGGTTTTGCGAAGCAAACCAAGGGATGTTCGATTCATAATACATGAAAAAGTTCATAATTTGCAACAATTTCAACTGGATCGGAGTAAAATAAAAACTTTTATTTAAAAAATGCCACAGTTTTGCCATATACTAGACTTTCTGCAGTCAAAGATGAGTTTTTACTCCTCGCCTTAAGAAAAGGATTTTTGCAAAAGCTGAATGACAAAGTTTACAAATTGCAACAAAATGAGGCAAATTTGCAATAAAAAATTTGAAAATTTACACGTTTTTTTATGCCAAACTTTGTATCTGGAATGAAATCAAACGCATTTTTGAAAAACGTATTTTATTTTAAAACTTTTCAAATCCAGCCTATAAAATACCAAAGTCACAGCTGACAATTTATGACCAATTCGAAATAATTCGCAATAAAACGAATGAAATTTATAAAAAGAAAATACATAGGTAAATTGACATAACCAACACCTGAATGTTTTTATTTTTATTTTAGTATGAATATACAATATGAATAAATAATATATAAACATGAACAAACTAGACCTAACTTACCGCGAAAGTTTTCTAGCAAGATATTAAAATATCGTCATACTTTTTAGGGTGAAAATTTTCCCAATAAGCACGGTTTTTTAAAATTGACGTTTCTAGAGACTACTCAAACGAAAAAGATATATTAAAGGGTCTAATAAAAATATTGTCTCTCGTTTAGAACGAAAATATTCCATGAAAAATATACTAAATAATAACAATAAAACCCAAAAGGCGTTACTTTAGGCAAAAAAGAAAATATGTAATTGGTGAATGATATGGAAGAAGCGCGTTATATTTGATTATGCTGTTAACTTACGTAAAAATAAATATATTAAGGGGCATTTTTGTTCTCGATTTTTCAACTTTCAACAAAAAAATGCAAACAAACGAATTTTTCCACCTTGCAGCTGTTTATGAGCTGGAATTTAGATCGGCGTAAAATTATTTTTTTCTATCATGTGAAGAAGCAAAACATCACTTGATAATGGCAAGTAAATGTATAGAGAAACGTTGAGAATTAAAAACAATATTTTGTTTTAATCCAATCCAAAACCGGGTATTAATGCAATTTCCATAACGTTTCAATCAAAGCAACTAAACATAAAAATATGTTAATAAATACATTGGAAAAATATGAAGCACACCACAATTTATAATCGACTTAATTATTCGGTTAATTTTATTCGTCTGCTGCGTTTTTTGCATCCCGCGCTTTAAAGACTATTTTATAAAATAATGTTGGTATTTTATCATTATAAATAACACAAAAAAAATAGTTAATAAATCTAATTTTACAGCATTTCACTCAATTTATGCAGAAATTAAAAACGAAAACGTGAAGAACCAACTTCTGTCTTCGCATATTTGGGGCCCAAAAATGAAATTTTACCAGCCCTGTTTCTCACTGAAAAAACAACCCATCAAAAGTGTCCTAAAACAGCAGGTATACGTTGTCTTGACGCAAAACATATAGATGTCATTTCGAGATATTAATAGGAAGTATCATTTCGAAGGCCCGATCATATATTACAGTTTTGTTGTTTTGGATTCCACTCAGGCTGACTGGGATGTAATCTAAGGGAACATCTTTTATGTGGCTTTTGTTTGACATGGATGGAGTGTGACTCGGTTTATGGTATAAATTAGGTTTTATGCATTTCGCCGTCTTGCTAAACACGCCAAGAGAATTCAAAATATAACAAAAAAAGAACATTTCAGGATAGCATTAGGTACCCGAAAATGGTGGTGTTTCAAATGGTGACACAGTTTTTGCCGCTGATTTTGTTTGTTTGCAATATTGGAAGTTTTCGGATAGAACGGATGTAAATTCGACAGATTTTATTTCCAAAATTCAAACAGAAGATGAATATGTGAAGCTTGTAATTTTGAGGAGCAGATTGTAAATATTTCAAGTAGAATTTCCACTCCGAAACAGAACTTGAAACATTTTAAGGAAAGTCATGTCCATCTACCATCAATATTCAAACATTTAAGTAAATGAATAAGTACACTTATATAAACACTAGAAAATTGAAAAAGAAAAATATCAACAATAAAGAAGAAAAGTATAGACATAAATTTGAAAAAATCCGAAAAAAAGCTACTCAATTCAACTCGTTAACTTCCAGGGCTTTTGCTCATTGTTAGTCTCGAATGCAACTCTGTCCGCTTGCGGTTTAACAGCACATCCCTTTATGTCTGTCGCTGTAGAATGTTTAGTAGTTTTAATTTGCTAAGTCATTTAAAACATGTGACTAGACTTGAAATGCCTTGCAGCAAAAACCTCATTATCCTCCTAATGAAAATGAATTCAAGTTTTAAGTACGTTGAAAGTCTTAAACAATCTGTTTTCTGTAGTCTTTGTTCCTCACAGCTTCGAAAACGATAATTTGTCATAGCTTGACGGGGCCGATACGATGCTCCTGTCCCATCTGGCAAATTGTTTTCGTCAGCCGAATCTAAATCTGGTCGGTTTTCAGGCGTCACTTCGCTTTGATAGGTTTAAGTGTTAGATTTATAGGTTGAAACGAATTTTATTAGTCAATTTTTATCTCAAGTATACGCCACTGGAGCCGGGTATCTATTCAGTCTGGTTAGTTTTGAAATTAGACACTTACCAGTTGTTGGGAGCAGTATTTTTGTACTTGGGTTACTGTATTGTCCCTAAAATCTAAGTCTCCAGCTAGCTGAACAAGGGATATCTGAAAAAGAGACAAAAATTAATTAATCGCTGGTGATAAGTCAACAGTAAAACATACAAAACAATTCGATCACAATCTCGGTACCAGCTCTATAATCATAGAAGGCAACATTCAAAAAGCCTCCATTCAAATAAATAACAGAAAACCAACGAGATTTTTATCTGCCTAATAAAAATGGTTTCATTTGCTTGGAGTTAGTATAGCTAACATGTAATGTTATCATCCTATAAAGAAGGAAGTTGTAGCGATTAATCTTTCACCAGAGACTAAAATAAGTACTTTCAAGCGTTCGGATGGTGTTGTGCGACATTAATAACGACTCTGCCTCTTGAGTATACCCGGTTTCAAGTGTTTTTTATGCGGGCCTGAATGTCAAATTTGTTTTTGGATACTTGAAGACGTTTTTTCCGTAGGAGATAGTTGCGTACAATTTCATAAGAATGGCTAAGTTCCAACTTTGCTGTATATTTTAAAACACAGTTTTTTTGACTGATTGCTCAGCATCAAGGCCGGTTTCTTATTGATCCTCATCAGTTGAGCATAAGATGATCATGCTTGATACTAAACTAGAAACGAGAAGAATTAGTTGTCGCCAAGCGAGTTTTATTAAATTATGGTTTTAACTTTAAGTACGTTTGAAAAATTTTCGTGTCAGTATTTTTCTTCCTATTTGCTTGATCCAATTTTGACAACAGTATCAAAACTTAGGCAGTAAAGACATACTAGTTCAGCAATTATGAGCGTTTAGCTATATATTTGAATGTATGTATGTAATCTATTTATTTGTCTGTATTTAAATTCTGTTTAAGTTTTTTGTTCTGTACTTGAGTTTTCTCAACAATTATTTTTTAGCAAAATGCTGTGCAGATGTGTTTCATATGATAGTAGGAGCAGTGGTCATATTTTCATTGTCAAATTTATTTTTTCCTCTCTTATGAATCAAATAAATTATAACTTCATGTGTTTTACATTTCAATATCAAGAGAAATATTGCATTTTTCGCCTTAACTTTTATGCACGAAAATAATTGTAAATATAGAAGAAGAAGTTCTCAATTTAGTTAATATCGTCACGCAAAATTGCTTAGTATATTAAAAAATTATGAATTGAGTTAAATTATGAACTTATTAACTGATTGTTATTTAAACATTTTCGTACTCACAATTATAGATTTTACAGTTTTTTTCCTGATTATTCATTAGAAAAAAGTACAATTAGTTGAGTCATTAGAAAACATTTTTGCAGTCATTTTAAATTGTCCATAGTCTTATTTCCTAGAACCAACGTTTATTCGGGAGTGTATTAAGACACAAATAAACTTGAGAAAAATGCTCAGAGAAAATTCGTACAAAACGTGCGTAAATGTGAATACAAAACTGAAATTTGTTGCTTCAAAGCAGCCCAAGTAAAGCTGGCTAAGCGGATTACGAGGTTTTTGCGGAGTATTTAGAAATAATTTTCTCCCAATTTTCCTCGAACAAATATGTATTTTGAGAAGCTCAGCGAGTTATTATGTCGAATGCAACAAAAGCAAGAAAAAATACTTCTATTTTTTCTTGTTCATAAAACGAAAAAAATTTTTTCTTAAACTTGTTTTATCGAAAGTTTTTTTTGCCTTTGCAAAAACTACGATAGATTATCGAATTTTGCCTTAAAAATGATTTTTTTCATTAAGCGAAGATATTTCTTATCAAATTAAAAACAGCATAATAAACCAGTGTTAATGGTTCTTGAAAAGTCTTCTAATTAAGTCTTACAGGTTAAATTAAACAGGTAGAGAGTTGCTCCAGAGAAAATGAAAAATTCTGAAGAAAATTTGTTCAAAGGCAAAATAACGGCATACAAGTATAAGAGCGTATTTTGCTTAATATGGATCTGACGGGTGTAGGAGTCGAAAAAAAAGCAAAATAGGTTCAGATGTTGGTCAAATGTTTAATTTTTTAAATAATGATTTGATTAATGGTTCTTGAAACACTAACAAGAAAAATATTCTAAAATCAACAGGAAACGAGTAATTTAATTATAAACAAACAGCATTAATGTATCACAAAACATCAGCGGCCACTTCGACACACTTATTTGTCCGTTTTTTAATGGATGTAGTAGCGCAATTTAACGCATTTCTTGTGTCCACTTTTGTAGCATCACGACTATCCATTCTCGAAGGCAAAATCAAACGGACCGAGATCAGGGTATCTCGGCGGTTGAAAGTATTAATTATATTTATTCAAACAAATGTTTAACATTTATTAATTGAAAAATGATAAACTGGATCAAAATCGAAAGAAACTTCGTCCAAAAGTTTCGCTAATAGTATTTGAAAAAATGTAAATAACTATCCTTATTAAAGCGGCTATTAAATACGAATAAACTGATCATTTAGAAGGCTGCCAGTAATTTTCACTTCCTAGAAACTTACTTAAAATAGTTCTATTTTTTTTTAATCATCATGTGTTCAGTCTGGTTAGTTATCTACACGTTTTCTCGGAAGAATCGCACATAGAACCGCGTTATCAGAATCTAATAGTAAGGATTGAAGTCGATTTCAGTACCGGATATGATTAATATTTTGCGGCGTAACATAGTTCTAAAATGTGAACTATTTTACAATATTGAGGAAATAATGCGTGCTTTAATTTAACTATTAGTAGAAAACAACAGTTTTGTCACATGGAAGCTGGGTTTCCCTTTAATAATTGCCAAACCAAATTTCCGCGTTCCACAATTGTCCTGTGCAATCTCTGATGAGCTAAAGCCTTAATTATAAAGTGACCTATATCGTCTCCTTTCATGTGTCTTTCATGTACAAAAATAAATCTCGATATTTTTAGCCTATTTCCAGATCTGTGACCAATTTGCCGCCAGCCCGAAATGTTGCTTTACAAGTGCCATAGTCAAATCTCGACCATTAAAAAATTTTATTTTTAAATTGGCATCCCAACCATTAGAAACCTGCAGTGAAAAGCTGCCAGCCACTCAATTCCTTAGATATTACAGCCGAATAATATATTTCAAGCATTCAACTTGATTCGAATCGGCACTTAGAATAGCGCTGGAAAGATGAGGATATCATTCACCAAAAACGTATCACTGTCGGCATCTTTTCATCTCTATCTCATAAGGATTAGAGTCTGCTCAAACGGGCGAAATGAAAGCAAATAAATCCAGAAGCCCCCGCTTGTTTAGGTTGCAGTTAATTTGTATCTCTTCAGTACCCCTTAGGAGTATCCGTTCTTTCGATTTGTCAAAGACTTTCTAATGGCCATGTTTATTATTGCACGGAACACTTTATTTTCTTTTAGTGTTTATGGTGTTTCGGTGTTAGGGTCTGTCGACCGTCTTACTTTATGAGCTTCAATCTCGAAAGCCGGCGAGTAATAATAATTAGTCCATGGATTTAGCTCTTCAGCATTCATCATTTTGTTTTAAAATAATGCACAGGACGAACACTTATAGAACGTGAACAACCAAGGGTTTTTTAGAGTTTTGAGTGTTCTGAAGTCGTTGATAGTTCTAAATATAAAAACATATATAATTGATCTTTAAAACAGTGTCACGTACTTGACGATTTTCTATTTCTTATTATTTTTTTGCATAATACATTTATTTATCGAGAATTTTTCGCTAGCTAGACGTTTATATCCTCATTTTCAGTTGTGTTTTAGATTTGAGTGTATTAAGTTATTTACTGTTATTTCACTTTTTAATTTGATTTTTCAGTCCTACCGGGTTTTATTTAGCACGCATGAACAAAGCAAGGCATAAAATTTTCATGACGAAAGTAACGATGCAAAAATCCTGCCTGAAAATGCTTTTGACGTTGCGTCTATGGCTAGGTGGAAAAGTTAGGTGCAAAAATTCAAAATTTTCCGGAAAAGTCCTAATCAATAAATGCCTTTGGTAGCAGTATTTAAACGTTCCGAAATTTTGATTTTTTTTTCGATTAAGTCTTATGGGCGCTTTGTCTTTACTAAGACTGGGAGAAGCTTTTAAAGATGAAAATATTTAAATCGCTGCCACTTTCAAGCGACTTTGTTGTACTCTTTATGAGTACAAAAAATGGTGACTTGCAGACTCTAAATGAGTCCGAAAGTTCCTAGTAAAAATGCTATGAAGTACCATTAGCAAAAATAATCACTAATTGTGATATCAGCATCAACAAGATAATTAAATTTTGAAAAAAAATGCTGCAAACCGGACTTTGATATCTTAGGCGTTTTAGATTTATTAACAAAAAATAATGTTCAATGTTTGAAATGAAAATATTACTTTACTGAGAAAAGTGCAATGTTCTCTAAAACAGGCAAAATGTTTGTAATAACTTATATTTCTTTGTATTTCCGAAACTTTTGATATCTGTCTGCATTATTATTTCCAACTTATTCCGGATTACATAACTTTTACGTCTACAGCAGTAATTTGATGACTTTCTCACACCCTTCAAAGAATCATTTTTACAAATTCCACAAAAATCAACTGAAAGAAATTGTCTAGTAAAACGTGAAAACCTCTTCTTCCTGAAATAGAACAGAGTTCCTTCTTTCTTTTTGTGGTAAAACCAAATATGTAGCTTTTTTGAATTGGAAATACCATCAAATTTTCGGAAAATTCGCCAAAAATCCACTCAAACGAGTTTCTTGAATAAATTATTTCCTGATCTAGAACCAAGTTCTCTCTTACTTTTGCAGCGAGAACCAAATATGTGGCTATTTTGAATTTCGAACCATGGAATTTAAGAAAAGTGAATTTACCATAAAACTCCTGCAAAATTCTATACAACAACAACATATCTTTATCTAGGAAAGGCTATCGACCACTGCTGTTTTCCGCAATTGTATTAATACTTAACATAATTTTCATTTAATTAAAAAATTAATTTTCATTCGAAAACGGGAACGAACGTTCCCGTTCCGTTCTTCGTTGTTTGCAATTTTTTCTGCAGTTGTTAGATCTATTTTATATTGATCATCTTACACCAATAATTGCTTAGCAAATACAAG